GTGAGTTGTCTTTTTCACTTCCATGATAGTGTCCTTTGATACAGATGCTTTTAATTGTGATTAAGTCCAATTTATTTTTTTCTCGTTTCTTGTGGTTTTGATTTCATATCTGAGAAACTACTGCTAACTCCAAGGTAATGAAGATTTGTGTTTGTTTTCAGATTGTTATATCGTATATCTAGATGACCCCCCCATAACTTTATGCACTCAAGGGTGGGGATTTTGAGAGGTGACTGGATTGTTGGTGTGTGACTGGAATAGTGCACTGGTGGGTTTATAGCTGGGTGTGCTGTTGGGAGGTGCAGCCTGCTGGAAAGAAGTGGGTCACTGTGGGCATGACCTGGCCTGGTCCTTCTCCCTTGATACCAGCCTTGCTTACTGCCTGCCTTGCTGTGAGCTCTTTTTCCTCTGCCATGCCCTTTTACCATGCCACCCTGCCTTGGAGCCACTTGACTATGGACTGAAACCTCTACACACTGAACTAAAATAAATCCCTCCTTTAATTTGTAGGCATCAGGTATTTTGTCATAGCAATGAGAGAATAAGAAAGACAGATTTTGGTACCTGAGAAATGGGGTCATTTCTGTAACATTACCTAGCCTTGTGGCTCAGGAGCCTTTGAAAATGGCTTTTGGAATGTGGAAACATTTGGAGATGCAGCTGGAGAAGCAGTCCTAGAATGCTAGAAGCCAAGCTTGATGGAAGATTCTGGTCCAAGCTCAGAAGACCAGAATGCCAATATAAATGCAGCTGGTAAGACTAGGCTCAGAAGGTGTCACTTGGGAAGAAGTATTCCAGTGGCAGCTGAACTCCTGGCCATATGTTATTCTCTGGTAGAAAAATGTGTCTGCATTTTGCTCTTGTCCTGAGACTTTGAGGGAGACAGGTTAAGGGCAATGGACTAATTAATCTTGTGGAAGAAATTTCAAGGCTGTCTCATGTTGAGGTGGTGGCATGGATACTGTTGGGAGGCGTTTAACCAGCTGTAACTTGAGAATCAGGTTTTGAGTTTGGCCAGAAAGAAAGCTCCAGTAATATTGTGGTCTCCAAAGACAGAGGAGTGGAGAACTTGATTGTTAAAAAGATTAGCATTAAAAAAACCAAGTACTTTGGAAGAGGGCAATAGAAAACATGGCTTGAGAGTATCACAAGGACTAGCAGGGCTCCATCCTTTGCATCCTCAAAATTATAGAGGTAAAAGACTTTGCTTTGAGAGTCCCAGGACACCATGTTCCAGAATGACAGTGACTAGGGAATTTGTTTCTTGAGATTGGGTTCATAGTGCTCAGCAATACAGGAATGTGACCACTACAGCCAAGAAAGAAGTCTGGCTGCTGCTCCAGCTTGTGGCGAACCATAGTGTTGTCTATATGGTGCTAGTTTAGGCACATGGCAGAAGCATGAGTTGTGGGGTCAGGAAGGCTTCCACCTGGATTTCAGAAAAAGGCCTGGGAAGCCAGGCAGTATGATCCTGAGGAGCAGTATGTGAAGCTGAAAATACAGTGGAGACCCCAGAAGGTTGGAGAAGCTAGGAATGTGGATCATCCTAGGAAAGCTGTAAGGAGTGGGCAAAGTCAGCCAAAGAGAAAAGCTGTGAGAGCTGCAACCACTGGTAGTGCCACAGAAGGACCACCTAAGCCCTTTGGAGTTCACATCTTGCCATGGATTTCCTTGGGTGCTGGACATGGAACTGTGAGTTTTAATGTTTGCATGCTGGATTATGGTCTTGCTTTGGTCTTATTCATTTCTACCTCTCTCCCCCATTTCTGTCTTTTGGAATAGGAATGTTTATCTTGTGGTTCTTTATGTTGGAAGTGTTTAACTTTCATTTTTACAGAGGCTCATAGAGTTTGCCTTAAATCTCAGGGAAATTGGACTTTTCAGCAATGCTGAAACTGCTGTGACTTGGGCAACTCTTACAGATGGACTAATTGCATTTTGGATAAGGAGATGTGAATGAGTCTTTTGGGGACCAAAGTGAATGTTATGGATATATCTATCTATCTATCTGTCTATGTATGTATGTATGTATGTATGTATGTATGTATGTATCTATCTATCTATCTATCTATCGATCTAGCATCTATCTATCTCCATACCTATCTAGATGTCCCCCCAATGCCTCAGGTGTTGGTATTGTGGGTCTTTTGGAAAGTCACTGGATCATGGAAAATGTAAAGTGTTGAGTGCTCCAACTTTTGTTTTTAATTCAATATTGTAATGATTCTTTTGGATCCCTTCCAATTCCATATGAATTTTAGGATCAATCTTCCCAATTCTGCAAAAAGGCCATTGGAATGTTGGTAAACTAATTTTGGCAGTAGTACCACTTTACAGTTTTAAGTCTTCTAACCTGTGAATACAAGATGTCTTCCATTTAGGGTTTTAATTTCTTTCAGCAATGTGTTTTGCATTTTTCAGTGTACAAGTCTTGCATTTCCTTAAATTTACTCTGAAGTGTTTTATTCTTATTACAAATGAAATTAATTTCCTTCTTGAATTTTTGTTAATGTATAGAAATAACTGACTTTTGTGTGTTGAATCTTTGATCCTCTGATATCATCAAAGTTTTAAATTAGCTGTAATTATGTCTTTGAGATTCTTTTGGATTTTTATTATGTAAGATGACACTGTCTGCTGAGACAGTTTTACTTCTAATTAGAATTCCTTTCTTCTTTTTCTTGTCCTAATTTCTCTGGCTAGAAATTCTAGTTTAGTGTTGAACAGCAGTAGGAAAAGAAGGCAATTTCCTGATCTTGGAGGGAAAACTTTCAATCCTTCACCATCAAGTATGTCATTAGCTATGGGTTTTCATGAATGTCTTTTATAAGGTTAAGGAAATTTCCTTCTTTCTAGTTTGCTGATAGTTTTTTCCCCCTCTATGAAAGATTTTGTTAAATAGATGAAATACTTCTGCACCTTAATTATATTATCTGTGGAGTATGATTAATTTTTGTATGTTGAATCATATCTGTATTTCCATGATCTCACTTGGTCATGGTATATAGTCCTTTTAATATGCGGTTGGATTTGACTTGCTAGTATTTGGTAAATTTTTTTCATCTATATTTATAAATGATATTAGTCTGTACTTTTCTTGTCATGTCCTTGTCTAGCTTTGGTATGAAGGTAATGCTAGACCTATATAATGACTTATAAAATGTTCCCTCCTCTTTCATTTTTTGGACTGGTTTAGGATTGGTGTTAATTTCTCATCTGTTTGGTAGACTTGATCAGTCAATCTAATCTTCGACTTCTTTTTTCTAATTACTGATTCAATTTCTTGTTATAGATCTGTTAAGATTTTTATTTCTTCTTGAGTCAGTTTTGGTAACTTGTATGTTTCTAAGAAATTTGTCCCTTTCATCTATATTATCTAATTTGTTGGCAATAATTTTTAATCAGTAGGCTTTTTTAGTTTAGTATGATACAAGATATCTAATATTTATAAATGGAAATGTATGTTTCATTGCATCTACTTTTTCTAAAGCAAAGTGTATTTATATAAAACTATGTAAGATATTTAAATGAGAATTCCCCCAAATATTATATATTATGGAAGCGAAATTTTCTGATGGGATGTGACTATATACACTTTTTTTTTTTTTTTTTTTTTTGTCCTGGTGTGAGGCTTTTTTTCATTTTTTTTTTTTTTTTTTTTTTGGTACCAGGGTTGGAACGCGGGTCCTTGTACTGGAACCACTGAACTAAATCCCTGGCCCTATTATATTTTTATTTTATTTTTGGTTTTTTTGAGACAGGGTCTCACTGTGTAGTTCAGGCTAGTCTCAAACTCATTATGTATCCTAGGCTGGTCTTGAACTCATGGCGATCCTCCTGCCTCAACCTCCAGAGCGTTGGCACTACAGGTGTGTGCCTGGCAGCTATTATAAATTTTATCATTAAAGGGAAGAAACACACTTAATTTTTTTTATTAAAATAAATGATTCCTTAATAAAACAAACCACTCTTTTTCTAGCTGGGGGCAGGAGTTGTAAGAGCGAACATTCCTGAGTCACACTGCCTGCATCTGAACTGGTCTGCAACTTCCTGGCTGTTAACCTCTCTGTTCCTCAGTTCTGTTTACTGTAATATAAAAGGAATAACAATAGAATCTATATTAGAAGATTGTTGTGAGGATTAAGTACACTAGTGCATATAAAAACTTCGTTCCTGTTCCTAGCCTTCAATAGTTATTAGCAAATGTTATTTTTTATGAAGTGGTCATTCATCATGAGGTTAAAATAAAGACCACCTAGACATCTCAATGGATAGTATAATAGTAACTGCCAAAACAGTAACGTGAATATAAGAAAAAGCCACATTTTTTTTTTTTTTTAGATTTATAAAACCTTAGACTGGAGGATAAATGAAAATCTTGGTAAAAGCCATCACTTGAAAAGAAATGGGTTTCTTGAGAGCAGGTGCTATTGCCTGTTACAAAACTGCAGTAGGAGGCCCTTTATCAAGGAGAAAATCCCACATAGGGAAGTACTCTTTGGAGAGGAGAACCAGTTCCTCTAGTTTAACATGAGCCTTTTCTCCACCACAAGACACAGTGAACTACAATGGATAAGGAGCGTTCCAAGGATCAAGCACAGAGTTCAGCTCCTAAAAGAGGTGACGATGTATTGAGGATTCTGCTACTGAAATTTTAATTTCATTTCTTACACCTTTCCTCTTACTTCCCTTCCTCTCACTTCAGCATGGCTGATTGTCAGGAAAATAATTGAATTCATATTTTTAATATAATGTGCATATGAAAGTATTAATACATGGACAAATCACTATCACTATTCTTTCCTTAGTGACCATACCCATTAACTATAGGATTTGTTTTGGGAACAGAAGTACTCACTGTCTTGGGCTCCAAGGTAGAAACATTTCATGTGCATTTAAAAATCAGTTCATTAAAAAAAGATTTAAAAAATTCTAAAAACACATATGTTACCTAATATAAAATATTAACACATTCACTATAACACTATATTTTAAAAGATGGTGATGTAGTTTATATTCATTTTATAATTAAGATATAAGTTAATGAGTTATACCATAAAGGACTTTTCACAAAATGTTCCTGCCCAGTGCATGTTTTGGAAAGATTTGACAATTAATTGAAGAGTACTAACATTCACATATGTAATTAGAGTTTACAAATGTACAAAACTTTAGGTAACAAACACTTTAAACTTAGTTTTCAAACATTCAATTCGCCCATTCCCCCAAAAGTATCTGATTATAAAGAAGCACAATGAATTACTAATTGTGGAAACCATAAAAACAAGGCAGGGGAAGCAAACAGATTTGAGAACATAAATGACTACCTAAATAATTTTTTCAATTGTAAGAGAGAAAAAAATCGTAACAGCTTTTGTAATATAAAAGCAAATTCATATAATTAAATAGGTGAACATTATAGAATATATGACATGTATTTTCTCTACATAAATTGCACATGTTAAATTTAATGTAAAACATTATGTTTCAATTTTAGGTGAAGAAAAATATACATGTAGTTCTTGGTGACTCTAGATATAATGGAATGAATATTTAAATAGGCCTGAAAAATCACATCAAGTATTTATTTGGTCACTGTTGTTTTAATGCTTTAGTGTTTTTCTTCATTTACTGGACTAAGCCAATTTTAGAAAGAAAATACACAACACCAAAGCATATGCAATGTAGCTTTTTCTGAAAAATTAAATAGTATATCTTTGTTATTGAGATAGTGATTGTGATTAAACAAAAATTACAGCAACTCATGTATAGTAAACTTACAGTACAGTATTTTAAAAGTTTTATGTGCTATGTCTACACTGTAATAAAATAAATCTGGGTAGTGGGAGTAAAATGTGTTTGTAAATGAAATAAATTCCTGGTTAGCACTGGATCCTGTTCTGACCAATGGATTTGTCCTCATATTTTATACCAGAAACATGTTCACGATTTACCAGCTGTAGTCCTGATTTATTAAGGAATGAAAGTATTTGATCCTGGTCCATCTACTCCATCCTCCCTTGGTTTAACATCTTCACTGTGAGATGAGGCACTTTGTGCCCAGGAATGTGGGATTGCATGTCTGCTGAATATTTATCCACTGATAGTAGAACATTTGAACTAAATTAATAAAAGACAGGGTTTCTTCACTTAAAAACCAATGCATATAAATGTAAAATTATAATTTTACAGTCACAACACAAGTTCCAGCTCTTCCTAGGCACAGTGGAGCAACCTAAAAAGAAACACAGAGAAATATGTGTTGGATTTGGGTTAAAATGTCAACAATACTACACCTGTTGGTGAAATATTGAAATACTCTGTATTTGTTGACAAGGACCTGCTCCTCTAACTTTTGCCCCATTCCTATTGTTGGCCTGGTCCCTTATCCAACCTCTACTATTGATGTCAAAGTTTTATAGACTCAATTGTTCTGTGTATATTATATAGGATTAACGCCTCTTTAAAAATGACTTTTTTAATGGCTTAGGAACTACTTTATATGAAACACAAACTTTTGGTCAAAATACTGCATAATATGAATATTAAAAAATGCTTAAACTTTGTGACTAATATAAAATATAAAATATCATAAAAGTATTATGTAGAGGGGGCCTCTAAAGAGCATACACAAAATACTGCATGCCTAGGGATCTCAAATAAATCCTCCATGTGCATGGCTGAAATGGTAAATCCATTCTACTGCTCTTCAGCAGAGCAAATAAAGAATAAATATGAGTCATCTAAATCTCTAGGAGTTGAAATTAACCCAGTGAATGAGCTCTCTGACTGTGAGGTGGGGTGATGGGGACTAGGGACATGAATATCACTTTATGGTAAGTTTTATACTTACTGTCTTTTAAAAAACATATCCTAGACACTAGACAATTCATAGTCAAAATGTGTGAACAAGAAAAGCTTTTGAAGTACTCTGAAAACAGGTAAGAATTTGTATATTTGACTAGATAGAGTTAAAAGTTGGAGGTGGAGGTGACTAATGCAAAATACTAAAAGTTTGTTTTCTTATGAATATTGTTATGTAACAAAGTGTTTCTATCAAATTTATAATACTAAAATAACTTCATCAGTTTGACCCAATCCCTAACCCCTTCACCAATGAGTGAATTGTAAGAACAGATCTGGCTTCAACTGTATAAGAATTCTCAGTTGTTTCCCACTGAATCAGTTATCTCATCATTGTTACATGTCTATGAAAAAATCAAGCTAGCTATTTTAAAACCATATCTATTTATAGTACTATAGAGGTAACTTCTACCTAACTAATTTAAATAAAAATGTTAGTTTGTAATTAGCAGCTTTTCTCAAAATACCCAAGTCTCTACACTGTGAATAGATAATATGACAACTAGCTAGAATGTTTAGAGAATCTATTAAATGCAGTGCAGTCATGCTTATAGTCAAGGCTGGTAGCAGGGGTGGGTGGTGGCTTAAGAATTTATAATCTTATTTCAGCCCCACAGGAACACTCTCTTATCCATATATTAGAACCTGAAAAGAAAACATTTATTTTTCAGATACTATGGTTACAAGTAAATTCCTTAAAATAATAATTAGAGGGGGCATGTAAACAAAATAGCTGTATAGTCAAAGATTACTGATTTTGATACTGAGTGATTTAACACAAAGTATTATCTGTAAAAACAAGCCTCAAATACTGGCCAATGGAGTTTCTAATAACTGGTCTAGTGGCTTAAATGAAATAATCTCAGAAAAAGATATTCTTCTATTTCTAGCTTCTTGACTGTCATTCACATTTCTGGGAGACTGATCATAGGTAATCACAAAATTAACTAATGAAATCCTGTGGCATAATTCATGTACTCAATCTTATCCCTTATGCCCTCTACCAAGTGATGCCACTTAATTAAGAAATAAGTTCACGGTCACGGAATCTAAGGCCTTTCTTTCTATCCTTCGCTTCACTTAACAATTCTGTGCACTTTCCATACTCATATTCTCATCTTTTCCTCAAGCCTTGGAGTAAGTCTGACCAGGTAAGGATGATGACCAGTCTTTGATCTCAGTTTTGTTTCCCAGCCTGCTTTCAGGAAGATGCTCTTTGGTTTTGCTTGTTCTTTCTAGCATGTGGAATCTGTTTCTACTTTCTTGCTATCTTTATTGTGGGGAAAAAAAATCCTACACTCATAATTCTACCCTTTACTTGCTACATAACCTTGGGTTAGCTATGCTGTGTGTCTTAGATTCCTCATCCTGTACAGTGGGGAAAGTAATCATATTTAACCTTATTGGATTGTATGTAGATTAAATAAATTCTTAAATGTAAAGTGCTTGGAACAGAGTATAGGAAATAAAATGTGCATAATATCAACTATCAACATCATCTTAAAATTTAATGCTCCCCAACTCCCACATTTTATTCTTCTCTTTACTTTTTAAACTGTGTGGTGCTTCCTGTTTCTATCAGATTCTTTAAGGGTCCCACAACTTGATGAATCATAGATTATCTTCATTCTTCCTTCTACTGTTGAAATACCCTCTTCCTTGTAAATACTCCATGCTGCTGCTGACTTCTAAGAACCATTCTGATCACACTCGTGCTGTTTTCTTCAGAGGCTACACGCAATCCAACCAAGAAGTATGAGTATATGAAGAGTAGCTGACAGAATGCAGTAGTATCCTGAGAAAATATCTATATCTAACAGTTCAAGCCTTGCAACTGAGCCTTTTTAAAAAAATTAATTTTATTGGTACATTTTAGGTATACAATATAATGACATTCATCGTTGAAAATTTGTACCTTTGCATAATGTCTTGATTCTTTTTTCCCCATTCCTCTGTCCTCCCTTCAATCCTTTGGTACATTTTAGGTATACAATATAATGACATTCATCGTTGAAAATTTGTACCTTTGCATAATCTGTCTTGATTCTTTTTTCCCCATTCCTCTGTCCTCCCTTCAATCCCTCTACCTCTCCCTATTTACTTGTTTACAAAGACTTTGTTTCCATTTTTTCATTTTCTCATATTAATTCCATTCCCTTCTTTCCTTTTCCCTATTCCTTCCACTTCCCCTTTCCCATTGCCCCTTTTCTTCCTGGTTCACATTATCTAGTATATCTTTTAGTCCTTATTTACACTTTCAGTTTCTCGCAACAGAGAAACTACTTGGTATTTACACACGTGTCCTATTTATTTCACTTAAGAGTATGGCCTCAATGTGCTTCCATTTAACTATAAATGTCTCTAATTTCTCATTCTTAATGGCTGAGTAGTATTCCATTTCATTAAAATTTTTTTTCTTTATCCAGTCTCCAGTTGATGGACAATTTAGCTGTTTCCAAGTTTTAGCTATTACAAACCATGCCACTATAAGCTGGGTACACAAATATCGCTGTGGTATAATTCTTTTAATTCTTTGGTGAAGATACCTAGAAGGGGAATAGCTGGGTCAAATGGGGACTTTCAATCCTAGTTCTTTGAGGTATTTCCATACTGATTTCCACAGTGGTTGTATCAGTCCACACTCCCATCAGCAGTGGAGAAGGGTTACTTTTTCCTCACAGCCCTGCCAGCATTTGTTATTGGTTAATTTCATGACAGCAGCCATTCTTTATGGGGTGAGATGGAATCTCAGTAGTGTTTTCATTTGCATAACTTGAATGACCAGTGATGTTTAACATTTTTTCCTATGTTTATTTGCTATTTCTACTTCTTTATCTAAGAAATGTATGTTCATTTCAGATGCCCATTGTTGGAATGAGTCTTTAAATTTGGGAAGTCTGATTTTTTAAATGTTCCATATATATTCTAGATAGTAGACCTCTGAGGAACAGCTGGTGAAATTTTTCCCCCCACATCATGGGTTGTCTCTTCATACTGTTGGTGGTTTCTCTTGCTGTGTACAAGCTTTTTAATAAGAAAAGATCCCACTTGTTGATTGCTTGTGCTAGTTCATGTGCAACTGAGTTTTTGCTCAAAAAATCTTTTCCTATACCAATGTCTTCAAGAGTTCTACCTACCTCTCTTTCAGCTGGTTTAGTGTTTAATATTTAGATCTTTAATCCATTTTGATTTTAGTTTAGTGCATGATGAGAGATATAGGTCCAGTTTTAATCTTTGGCAAGTGGAAGTCCAATTTTTCCACCATTTATTAAAAGCACCATTTATTAAAAGGCTATCTTTCCTTCAGTGAGGGTATTTGGCTCCTTTGTCAAAGATGAGGTGGCTGAGTGTGTCTGGAGTTGTTTCTGCTCTTCTAATCAGTTTCACCAGTCCTCAGGTCTATTTATTTACCAGTACCATGCTGTTTTTATCACAGTATATTTGTAGTGAAGTTTTAAGTTGGGGATTGTGATACCCCCCTTACCTTGTCTTTATTGCCTAGAATTCTTCTGCTATTCTTGGTCTCTTCTTGTTCCAAATGAATTTTTGGATCATTTTCTCAAGGTCTGCAAATTGGTACGCTGTAATTGGGATTGCACTGAATCTATACAGCAGTTTTGGAAGTATGACCATTTTCACTATGTTGATTCTTCCTACTGAAGAGCAAGGGATGTCTTTCCATTTTCTTATATCATCTTTGATCTCTTTTTTTTTTCAGAGTGCTATAGTTTTTAGAGTAGAGGTCTTTGATTTCTTTTTGTTAGGTTGATTCTTAGGTACTTCAAATTTTTGGATGCTACTATGAAAAAAAATTGTTTGCCTCATTTCTCAGTGGGTCTGTTGTTCATGTACAGGAAAGCTATTGATTTTTGTGTTGACCTTATACAAAGATACTTTATTGAATTTGATTATTAAGACTAGAAGACTTTTGGTGGAGTTCTTGGAGTCTTTTAAATAAGAGTATTATGTCATCTGCAAATAATGACAATTTCCTATCTTTATTTTTAAATTTCTTTCTGTCTAATTGCTGTGGCTAAGGTGTCCAAAACTATATTGAACAGGAGTGGTGATAGTGGGCATCCTTGTCTTGTTCCTGATTTTAGTGTGAAGGACTTTAGTTTTTGACCATTTAGTATGATATTGGCTCTCGGTTTTTCATAGATGACTTTTATCACATTGAGGTAGAAAACCGTCTATTCCAATTTTTTGTAGGGTCATCATGAATGCCTGTTGGGATTTTGTTGAATGCTTCTTCTGCATCTATTGAGATGATCATGTTTTCTGTCCTTGGCTCTATTAAAATAGTGTATTACATTTATTGATTTGCATATGTTGAAGCATCCCTGCATCCCTGGGATGAATCCGATTTTG